ACCCCACAGCGAGGATGGGGAACAAATAAAATAGTTGTCGCTACAGCAGTACCAAACATGGAAACAGCTGCAGTAGTAGTCGTAATAGAAATGGAAACAAAAATGATAACAACAATGTGTGAATCTTGAGCATTCATAGAGCTGCATCCTGCAAAGTGTGGGGCAGCCCCTCCATACCAAGGTGTTGGAGTCCACTCTCTTTCAATGCTTGTCTCTCATTTGGGTTTATGTATGACGCATTATGAGCGCAATTCATGGATGAATACCTTGAGTCGTCTAAATCGGATTCGAGAACCAACAACGCAGCTAAATATACAAGACGTAACCAGTGGCATCGCAGCATTCCACACCAAAGAGCTGAAGGCAACCTGGTGGATTGATATCCACGAAACTTGCTATGTCAGCATGAAAACAAACCGGTACAATTGAACATCATGTTCAAGACAGGGTTTGCAGTTCAACCATATGGTGGCCTTGTTTTAAACGCTGCCAAATTTGACTTTTTAGGCGACTGAGGGAAGATGTACAAAAACGTGCAAAACGAAACAGTAGCAGGAGCAGCAGCAGGAGCAGCAGCAGCAGCAGCAGCAGCAGCACCACGAGTTACAGAAGCAGTGTTTGTAGTAACAACAATAACTAATCGGGAAAACTAGGGTTACTAAATGGAAAATGGTGATTATTAACCTACTTACAAAGTCCCGTGACCCTCCAGGTGAGCTTCAGTCTAGACTCCTAGTATGCTGCTTAATAACCCCTATAAAACTCCCCTATACAATCCCCTATACAACCCCCCTTCAACGAGTTTAGACCGTAAACCCTAAAACCTAAACCATATATAACCCTTTTAAGGAGTTTAGACTATGCTTTAAGAAGTTTAGCCTATAGCTCAAGTAGCCTCGGCAGCTTGCGTCTTGATCTTGGCAGCTTGCAGCTGGAAAAGAGAGCCCAAGTCTGTGCGACAGTCAGTTAGTCTTACTGGTGGTTAGTAGGGAATTATGGAATATAAGCGCTAGATAGTCCCTGCATAATAGTTTCTACATAATATATTCCCTTAGTCCGTACTAGCCACCAGCAAGGTTAGTACTCCTATCTGCGACTCCTGCGCAGCCACCTTCACTGCAGATCTGATCCAAGTGAGCCAGCTGCTGCCAGTTGTGGTGGTGGAACAAAGCTGTGATGCTGTACAGGATGACAAAACGGAAGGAACACTTGCTTCCTTCTGAAGCTGTGAATTAATGCTTCACTATGAAGCCTCAAGCCCTCACGCCCTGAAATACGTCTTAATACATACCTTTACATATCATATCCCTTTCAGCTCCGATTCGGTCTCAGCCAGCGCTGGACTAAACCTGAGAAGCACATGCGCAAAGGAGGCGGTGTGAGCGGAATACCTATCAGCAAATACCTATTAGACCACCACAGACTCCTTACAAACACCTTATACAAACGCTAATCTACTAATTCCTTCTCAGCTGAATAGCGCTTTTTGGGTGGTTGAGCCAAGGAATTAAGACTATAGTACCAACCACTATACCCAAACGGAGGATATCATTTTGCTCTATACTGGGGGTCTATAGCAACCCCAAAGAACACGCGACTCAACTTATTGAGCCAAGCCGCAGACTCCCGCAGCCCCAAAGGCTACCAGCGTCAACGGCTTCAGGACACCCTGAAATTTCTGGTGCCAGGAAGGTGTCCTGGGCCAGGACTCCAGGGTAGCCCCTAATAGCAACTGTGCCCAATGTGGTCCCATTGTTATGTAATTGGAGGAAGATGTGCTGCTATCATTATTCTTATTCTCAGGGAGTCGAGAGTTTTATTGCATTGCAACTTATCTTTCCGAGCACACAGAGCACGTGCAGCTGAAGACGGGGCTCCTGACGAACAGCTCTTCACAGCCGTCATGCTCCACGAAGTGCTCAATCGCATCCACGCAGGCCTGTGCGACATGAGCCAGCTCAGAGGGTCTTGTGTCCTCAATCCCTTGTTGGCACCTGCCCCATTCGACCCGAGGTACAGTGTGATAAGGGCATAGTTCAAGCCCGTGCGTAAGTACTTAGTACCATTCATGATGAGTGATAAGTTTCAGCAAGGTACTTGCAGATTACTTTGCTTAAGTCTACGTCATGCAATGGTACTTGTCTGCTTGATCTTCAGCGACAAGTCTAGCTTGCACGCTCGAGTATTACCTTGGCAGCGACTGCAGTGCAAAGCCTACTCTGTTACAACTGTTTGGTCAAGCTTTGCAGCCTTCGGTGCAGTGGGTTTTGTGCAAGACTTTCCTCGCTGTGACAAGCACTCCAGCAGGCCTCGGCACCTCCCGTCTTCAGCATGGACTGCTGCAATTCCAGAGCTTTTGTGGCATAGCTCGGGTTGGCAAGGACCTGGGAAGCAACACGAAGCAGCATCATCTGGATTTGTTGCTGTACGCACACATCGGGATCGGCCTTGCCAACCGCAGAGGTCACTGCTGCAGCTGTGAGCTTCGGAGGCGACAGGACCTCTCCCAGACCCCGTGCCCTGGAAAGCTTGGCATTGGCAGGCTGATCAGCACGGAAGGGCAGCGCCACAAGTGGTTTGCCAGCAGCAATGGTCTCATTAAGGCCACCGAAACCGCAGTGCGTCACCACCACCGCGACATCCGGCAGCTGTAGGGCCTCACCTTGTAGGGCTTCACCAGTGCAGCAAATGCAGCAAAGCTTAGAGAAATTTCAGCACGCCTTGCCTTGTGGTAGCCATTTCTGCACGAAAAAGTGTGAGGGCAGAGCATCTGGGCCTCCAGGCAAAAATGCCTGTTGCTCCGGCTTCAATGACCAAGCCACTGCACACCGCGGCGTAAGTGCCTGGAGACCCTCAAAGAGAGCCTTTACTTGGAAGGGCTCCAGAACCTGCATACTGCCCATGGTCACGTAGACGATGCGTAGCCCCATGCCACGCACCTCATATTAGACAACAGTGGATGTACCTACCTGATTTTCTGGCTTGTCTCAATGCCTCCTACACATTTACTAGTACAGAAACTATCAGTAGCTGACTAGTATGCTGCAAGCTGAATGGGCTCTGGCACTCGCTGCAGCCAGGTGTTGAAGCGCTCATCGGAAGTCTCGCGCAAGATGGTAGAGCTGGGTCTCGGGGCCGTCGAGCCCGTCATGATGACGTTGGGAGGCAACGGCCAGGCAGTATCCAAACCAAAGAAACTGTTCACCAGACAGAGGTGGTGGCCAAAGGCAGAAAAAAATTTGCCCATGACCTGGAGGCTGTGATGAGGCAGTGAACTAAGTGCTTCAGCACTAATTTCAACCCTTTGCGCCTGCACCATGATTCTTGTATCGGCAATGCTGCGCGTATGCAGGAAGGAAATGGTGCTAAAGGTGGCGATCATGAAAGGGCTCAGGTTCTTAAAGAGCTCCAGTGGCCCTGGAATGTTCAAGATGACGGGGATGCCACACTCCTTTGCAGGCTCGATAGCTGCTAAGGTCACCATGTCAGCCAGAATCACATCTGGCTTTTCCGACTGCAGCCAACTTCGGAATTCGTCCCGCATGGCGTCGTCGAAGTGCCTCTGCACAGTGGGCAAGAACCTTCAAAAACTGTAACGACCTTGCAGCCTACCCCTTCGCTTGAACCCACTGACCCCTGACCGATTTACTTGACAACTGGCCGCTGGTCTTGGAACACATAAGGCTCTGGGAAACTCTCCCTGGGCAGTGGATTGTTGGCCAGCCTGATAATAATATATGACTAATAACAATACGAATAATACACTACTCATACTAGACCTCATGGGCCTTAGTCTACTCTATGTCACAACACCCCCACCTATGTTTAATACATCCCCCATATATGTATCTATATATATATATATAGGGGTTATATAGGAGATATATAGGCTGTAGGATTAGAGTACTAATAACAGTATCAATTGTAATATACTACTGGGTTGTTAGCCGGCCTGAAGAGCATCCCAAAAAGGCCTTTGGATGTCAGCTCAGCAGCAAGGCCACTGCCAGCGTCCTTAGCGTTTGCGTGGGGATGTTGTTGAAAATGGGGCCCTAGTAGGATCTTTTGGGAATATATGGAATTTGAGAGGGAATCATGGGGGTGTCTACTCCTGGCATAGAAGGAGCACACCCCTGAGTCGGTACTAATAGCTAAAAATTGCAGACGGATTTCAAAGACACGAACACACGACAAATCCCTTCTTGTGCACATCATGGATCGGAGCCTGAGATGCCCTTGCCGAGGCCGACAAACTCGCAGCCCCCAGCCTCACAGCCTTTTGCAAACTTCTCGCGCGCGCAGTCCTCGATCAAAAGGGAACTGATCTCTGAAAGACACTACCGTAAGAATCTGTTCGACAGGGTTGTTTACTGCAACTGTAGACCGCAGGTTAACTTTGCCGTGAACAACGAGTTTATGGTTCAGCGCATCTGTGTACAGCTTGCTGGCAGGCATCCAAGGTGATGAGCGCGCTTTGATGCCCCCGCCGTGCCAGGGCTTTCGCAATCTGCAAGAACAGCTCAGGCAAAGACAAAGAAGAGGGCAGGAACCCTAGCTGGGAACTCCCCCACCTTTGAAGCTGCAACCCCACACCAATCATCCCAAGATGTCCTAACTAACACCGCCCGCAGCGAGCCCTCCTCCCTCACGCCTGCGCCGTCGGTACCAGATGCCCAGCCTCAGGCGTGGAGATACAGGCGACCTTGAGCCGGCGAACCTGGAAGGCCCATGTCCAAGCTCACAAAATTTTAGGGTTTTGGGGTTTGGGCGACTCTGCCGCGCCTGCCGGCTGACTGTGAGGAATTCTCGGTCAACCTTTTGGTCACGCCTCAGCTGTCCCACGGATCTGTCTTCTGTATAGAATCTATACAAGCATTCAAGAACAACGCAAGCCAACGCTGCCATACTGGTTGCAAGGGCTGCAGCAACAGACCCTACATCCGGCCTTTCACGAGGGTTGTTTCCCAGAATCTTGGGCAGCGCTGTTTCAGCCATTCTCGCCAGCTGCAAGGTGATATGGACCAATCAACTGAGCCGAGGGTGCTGCGGCGGCGAAACTTTTCATTCAATTGAGGGGTTTTAGGGTTTATAGGGGTTATATATGGTTTATACATAGGGGTAATGGAAAAGAAAATGGAAGCTACTAACTTAGGGTTCACCTGGACATTCTGTGTGTTTTGCTGCGTCTTGCCTGCAGCCCATGGCGCTGGCAGGCTGTGTCTTAAGCTAAGCGAAAGCAAAAGCAACCTCGAACAAATTATCAGTAGGGTCCACCCTCCACCATATCTAATTCCACATGCAAGGCCCCTTGTCATCTCCAAAGGAATCCACCTTGCCGGCTTAAACCCCGGCGCCACAGAAGCCTCCAAGATGGTTTCATGCGAGGCATCCGCTTCGAGCGTCTTCAACTTGGCCTCCAACGCCTCCATGCTGATCGTGGCCGCTTTCGCGATGTGTAAAAAACAACTTTCTATCAGTGCTGCGACTCTCTTCGACTGGCACTGGCGCACAGGCAAAATTCCTAAAAGCCAGGGGAAGCGCACCTCGAGGGTCACTGGCCTCACCTGACAAAGCAGAAAGCGCGCTGCACTTAAGCAATCCTGGACCAACTCCAGCAAAGCAGTCACAGCACTCAGCACTCTACCACTTCGCGAACTACGACACAAGAGTAGGTCCCCCAGTTGAAGGAGCCTCGACACCTTCTGCTGCCGCAGCAAATGTAGCCGCGGAGAGGTCAGGCTCCAGACCTTCCCAGAACAGCCATCACTACAGTGTTCACTACAGTTTTTGCCTCCAAAGCAGGGGCCCAACCTGGCGGAGATGATAGGAGCATCTGCCCGTTCCTTACAGGAGCACATGAAAGCTGTGAGTTGGGGAAAGCTCTTCTTTCACAGAAGCACACTCTACATCTCTCTTCTGCTTGCAATCCAAGATCATTCTCGTTGCAGTCAAAGTCGAACCAACAGATTTCACTACACCACAACTGTGAGCCAAGCAGCATCGAGCCAAGCCAAAATGTAAGGAAGCACGGTGTAGCAAACTTGTAGACATGAGACTGCGCTGTATAGCATCCTACAAGTAGAGCCTCAGCGGCTAGAAAGCAGTGCAGAGGCCACTCGGAGATGTCTACATTAACATGTGTCCTGCACAGAAACCATGCCAAACGAGCAGGCCCATGTACAAAACCGTTCACAGGGCATGATTCGGCTGCACATTATTACAGCACGCTTAACTTGACGGTCCCTGCCTGGTGTCTGGCAGGCTCCGGGGCGAGTTGCATTCCATGGCAAAATGCGGTCAGCACTTGAAGGCTGTCGGGTACTGCTTGTTGTTCTACACAACCCTTGACGTTGCAGCCATCAAGTTCTGGAGAAAAAGACTCGCTACTGTTCAGCCAGACTCCTGCTTTCTTCCTGCTTCCCAAACAAAATGTTGGAATCACATCGAACCTGCGCAAGTTTCTAAAGCTTGACTGCAGCACACAGCCTTCAGCAACCTTAAAGCACCACATTGAAATGCGGACTGAGCGCCGTACAACTTCATCTTGTTCTCTCTGATGAGTGAACCTTACAACTTGCACATGTGTTAAGGTTGCTTGCATGAAGCTATGATACATGGGGGTTTGCACCAACCACCGTCCCTAGAATGGGATAAACCCAGCAGGCACCAACATATGCGACCCGTACTTTGACAAGTTCAACTTATCTGACCCACCACACTTAGATGAATCGACTTACCGAGTGCCCAGGCCACGCAACGGGAAGAAGCAGAGCTGCTAGTACCACCAAAACGCTGTTAGAGGATGCCGCCTGCCAGGCAAGCACTGTGGCGTCAAGAAGAACTTCTACTTCTAGGGCATAATTCTTCATAGCTTAATCCATTCCGAATCCTGATCCAATCCGATTTGCTGGAAGATGCTGGAACTGCGCATGTCATGGAAGCTCATGCATCCCAAAGTGATAAGGAAAACGCCGGTGCGGTAGGATTTTGATGCTGGCCATTGGGTGCGGCGCCTTTTCGCCCATGGCTGTGCGAGCTGTGGACGTTGATTTGATCTTGACTGCCAGTTCTGGATTTCCATATCTGAGGCGCCCTTGTCTATGCGAGCCAGCTCTATGAACCTATAATATGCAGATCACGTGAACGATTTCACGTGCTGTTGAGGCTAGGTTTCTGGATGTGCTCAAGCTGCGTTGTACAAATACGCCATCAAGTCAGCAAGAATGATAAAATCAGATTCAGCACACCTCACTAATCGTGTTCACGCGACAATGAGCACTTCAAAGCCTTTTTCTGCACATGGCCACAAAGCCCAGCAGTAGAAGCAGCAGCTAAACGCCGCGCTTCAACACAGCACCCACAAGACATGCAAGCTTTGCTCTGCTTCATGATGGATGTAGTCCCCCTTAAGTAGATAGAATATGGCTCTGGTCATATTATAATCAGATCCCCAGATACCCCATGTTCTACTTAAGGGTGACTGTAGGTGCATATCTCCATCTGTGTGACGAACTGTCAACGTTATGGTATGTGCTTGCCATTGACATGTTTCTTCTTCGGGCTGGTAGTATCCCTAAACCCAAAACCCTAAAACCCTAAAAACCCTCAAACCCTAAAACCCTAAAACCATTTTT